TGTCACAGTGTGCCCTGCCCTCCTTTTCACCATTAAAACCCAAATTCTTGCCTTTCTCAGGGACCTTAGCAAATCACTTGATCTCAGCTGTGGGCTTCAGTTTCCATGGGAGGGAGGAGAGGAGATACATGGAGATATCTCCCAAATCAGCCAAAGAAGACTAATTGATTGAGCTAGTCATGGATCAGTCCTGGCTTCAAATCCCAACACATCCTGATTTTGTAATTTGGGTCAAGTGGCTTAACCCCCTCGGTGCTCTAGGCACTTCTAAGACAGTCAGGTGCAGGGCTGGTGTCCTCTTTGTGAGCAGAGGGAGTGCCCTATACCAATGAAATCATAGGTCCTCTCCCTATCCTTATGGGCATAAAATTTTAGAAAGGGAAGAAAAGAAATGACCTCCCCCCATCCTTCTCCTCCCTTCCCCATTAAAGTCCTGACCCTGAGCTGCCAGAAGTGACCTTTGTAGTTCCTATTTTAACAGTTGAATTATTAACAAAAAATGAGGCAACTGGGTAATTAATCCTAAAGAATATTTATTGGCTACATTTAGGGAATTTAATTCTACCTAGGGGCAGCTAGATGATGCTGTGGATAGAGTGCTGGGCCTGGAGTCAGGAAGACCCCAGTTCAAATCTGGCCTTAGACACTTACTAGCTGTGTGACCCTGGGCAAGTCACTTCATCTCTGCTTGCCTCAGTTTCTTCATCTGTAAAATGGTGACAACAATAGCACCTATCTCCTAGGGTTGTGAAGATCAAAGACAATAACTGTAAAAGGCCTGGCACATAGTAAGCATTGTATAATAATAACTATTATGATGATTATAATGATAATTTTTCTCCTAATTAAAAAGGCCTCAGCTTTTAGATCTGATGAGAAAGAGAAATACATCAGAGACAGAACCTTTCTGGAAATCCAGGGAAGCAAGAGCAGTGAGCAGCAGCTCCTCGAGCTTCCTGGGACAGGGACTGGCTTATCCCACCTGGTGCAGTTTTTTTCATTGGATAGATAGAGATCCTGGAATATCACTTTCCCTTCCTGCTGCTGTTCAATTCTCTCTCTTTTTTTGGGTGGGGGGTTAGGCATTGGGGTTAAGTGACTTGCCCAGGGTCACATAGCTAGTAAGTGTTATGTGTCTGAGGCCAAATTTGAACTCAGGTTCTCCTGAATCCAGGGCGGGTGCTCTATTCACTGTGCCACCGAGCTGCCCCTGCTGTTCAATTCTAATTGCCCAGCAAGAGGAATAGGGGTAGGGATGGCAAGGGAGTAAGAAAGCAGATCAAGCTGCCTGGAGTTCCTCCTTCCTCCCTCCCTTCCTTCCTTCCTCTCCTTTCCTTCTTTCCTCCTTCCTTCCTTCCCTCCCTCCTCTTCTTTCCTTCCTCCCTTCCTTCTTCTCTCCTTTCCTTTCTTTCTTCCTTCTTCTTTCCTTCATTTTCCCCAAAGGAAAGCAAGGGCACCGGGCCTGAAGAAGGAGTTCTAGGTTAGAGTCATGCCTCTGCCATTTACTAACTTTGTGACTTTTGACAAGTCACCTCCCCCCTCTTAACCCATGCTCTTCATAGGATCAATCAATCAACAAGCATTTATTAGGCACTTACTGTGGACACAGAGGGGCAGGTGCCCTGCTGGGTTGCATGAGATAAAAATAAAAAATGAACCTCTGCTCTCAAGGATCTTACATTCTCTTAGGATCCTAGATCTACAGAAGACGGGATCTCTGAGATAATCTTTTAGTCCAATCCTGCTATTTAACAGATAAGGAAATCAAGAGCTGTAATCCGCAGACCAGGCACTTCCCTCCCCCTCCCCCTCCCCCACTCCCCAGTCTGTTTCCTGATCTGTCAAAAGAGAGGGCTGAACTAGATTCTCTGAAGTTTCTTCAAAGACCACTTGGAAATTCAGGGAGGGGCAAAAGGAGCGGTTGAAGTGAGCGAGGGTAAAAACACAAAATTTCCAGGCAGGGCTGAGCAAAGACCCCAGGCAGCGGGAGCTTCCCTTCCCTTCCCTTGTCAAGATGAGGCTTAAGGTCAACAATCCAAAAGGAAATTAGGGCAATGATCCTTTCATGGGAGAGCTTCCCCGGAACAGAACAGAAGTCATAAATTTTCTATGGGGCTCAGCTTGGCTCTTCTCAGAGTTAAATCCCGACCAAGAAATGCCTGCGAACCCAAAGGCCCTTCTGATGCCTGGTTTTCTGCATTTCTGTCTAAGGGCTGATCAGAATAGTCTTGAATCTTTCACTTCATTCTATAATTTTTATTTTTAGGGAACCCAAATGCCCTTCCCCTGATGCCTGGCTTTCTGCATTTCAGTCTAGGGTCAGAATAGTCTTGGATCTTTTTTTTTTTTAGATTCCGCGGCTTAGAAGGGCATGTTGAGGCAAGTAAAACATAATCTGAGAGCTAGAAGGAGCCTTAGAGCAGAGGTGCCTACCTAACCTTCTTGTTTCACGGACGCTTTTGGCAGCCTGCTGAAGCCTTACTTTCTCAGAAGTTTTCATTGAAGGAAATGCTAAATTTCAGGTAGAGATTAATGAAAACGAGAATGTACCCTCCCATACAACGTGAAAATTTCCTGCTGAAATTGGGGGTGGGGACCCCAGGTTAAGAACCCCTGCGTTAGAGGTTACCTAGTTTGCTTAACGGGAGGAAACTGAGGTCCAGAGAGGCCCATGAGTCACCTAGATTCAACAGTGACTGTAGTGGCAGAGCCTCAGTCCTCTCTCCGACTTCGACTCCAGGGCCCTGGTTCCGTTCCAAGACTGGAGTGGGAACCACTAGACCAGGGTCCCATCCTTCTGCTGCTGTGCCTCAGTTTCCCTGCCTGTGACTGTCTCCCTTCTCCATTCTGAGACGTCTCTATTACGGAAAATGCAAAAATGCACGACTGTGGTGAGAATCCCTTCCCCTCGTGCCCTAGGCCTAAAGGCTAGGGTGGGATTGGACAGGGATAGAGGACGTGACAGAGAAGACAAGGCGAAGCTTGGGGACAGCCTGCTGGGAGAGGAGAGCGCATGCGCTCTCCGCACGGGGCTGGAAGGGGGGGCCCTCGAATCTGTCATTCCTCCCATCTCTTTCCGAGAGAGGAGGGACAGAAAGGGAGAAATGCGCACAAGGAGAACAACACTAAGGGGGAGGGTCCCCTTTTCCCTCCTCCAATTCCAGCAATTCCAAAGGAGGGGGGTAGGGGGAGATGGAAGGGTTGAATTCAGGGGGGCGAGGAGGAAAGGGAGAAGGAAATGAGAGGAGGGGACAGAGGAAAGGGGAAAGAAGAGTGAAGAATGAAGGGAGAGAAGGGGGAAAGTGAGGTGACAGGGAATGGAAGAAGCCGGGAATGAGAAGGGGAGGGAGGAGAGGAGAAAGAATGAGAAAGAGAGGGAAGAGTAGGGGAAAAGAGGAGAAAGGGAATGAGAAGGGGAGGGACAAAGAGAGGAGAGG